ATTCGTTTCTTTATCTTCTTCCTTACAACTCCCCCTGTTCAGAACCTCTATACATATATATCGTCATCACATGAATATCAGAGCGCCAAAGCGGGGGAAAAAAAAAAAAACAGAAAGAAAACAAGGAAAAAATGAATTCGTTTTTTTCATCTTCTTCCTTACAACTCCCCCTGTTCAGAACCTCTATACACATATTGTCACAAAAATATCAGAGCGCAAAAGCGAAAAAAACAGGAAAAAAAACAAGGAAAAAATGAGTTCGTTTTTTTAATTTCTTCCTTATTACAACTCCCCCTGTTCAGAACCCCTTGCGTACAAGGCCGCCCACGTGGATGTAGTAGGACTGTGAATCGGGCCGCAAAAGGCGGCAAAAGACAGAACAAGAAAAGGAATAGCAGTAATAAGGAAAGGGAAAGCCCAACCTGTTCATCACCTCTTACGTACAAGGCCAGCCACGTGGAGGACGACAGGATGAGCGCTGGCTTGCCCCATCCATCCCCGTGTGTCACAAGGACCCATCCCACTTGCACGCAGCCAAAAAAAGGCAGCCAGAAAAAGGCAGCCAAAAAAAGGCAGCCAAAAAAAGGCGGTCAAAAAAAGGCGGTCAAAAAAAGGCAGCCAAAAAAAGGCAGCCAAAAAAAGGCAAAAAAGAGGTAAAGAAAATGAGGAGGACAAAAAAAAAAAAAAACTGCCAGGGAAAGAAAGCCTATCAGTCAAACGAAGCAAATGACAATGACGCATCCCACAGATATATATCCAATTGCCACAAAGCAAATAACACATCCCACAGACCAACATTTTTTTTTCTTCTTCTTTTTTTTTTCTTCTTTTTTCCCGCAATTTGTACTTTTTTATTTTTTTTATTTTTCTTCTTCTTTCTTCAACTCCGTATCTGTCGGTCAAACAGAGCTGCACGGTAAACCGTACCGTAGGCAGAGAGGGAGGGAGGGAGAAGAGGGGGACAACAAACACTTAGGGGGTTGTGACAAACTGAATCGTCGTAGTTTCACCTCTCCGTACTCCGCGTCAAACAGAACTCCCAGGTAAGTCAACGAGAGAGAGGAGGGATTGGGCAGAGAGAGAGAACAAGGAGAGAGGGGAAGAGGACAAGGAGAGAAGAGAGAGAATGCGAATAACGAGAGAGCGGAAAGAGTGGGGCGAGGGAATGACGACAGAGAGAGGGGAGAGCATTGGGGGAGAGAGAATAAGGAGAGGGGACAGAGAATAAGAAGAGGGGAGAGCATGGGAGAGAGAGAGAATAAAAAGAGGGGAGAGAATGGGGGGGAGAGAGAATAAGAAGAGGGGAGAGAATGGGGGAGAGAGAATAAGAAGAGGGGAGAGAAAAAGAAGAGGGGAGAGAATGGGAGAGAGAGGAAAAGAAAAGAGGAGCGAGTTGGGAGAGAGAGGATATGGCGAGAGGGGAAAAAATGGAGAGAGGGGAGAAAATAAGGAGACATGGGAGAGGGAGGAGCCAAGGTCCAAGAAACAGATCGGGATAGATCAAAGCAGGGAGAGGAGAGAGGCTGCTCTCTCAGTACTACACTTTTCCCGCCGAACACAAGCGCGGGTCATAATGGATGTATTTAGCGTAACTTCCAAGCGAGATACAGATGCATGACTAGGCGTGGCGATCGGGGGAAGAAGGGCTAGCACTTTCATGGATGAACCAGACGAACAAGTTACGTCCAGATACACATTCGCGTCGAGAAGGTCGTAAGCAGAGTGTGCGCACTAAGAAAGACCATGTCAAGACCTTGATGATTGATACTAAAAATAATTTAAATAAATAAAAAGATCGGCATAATATTATTCTAATATTGGCTTGTATAATTCTGTAATGAATATAATTATTTATTATTATTATATACTAAAAATAATAATAAAATATTCAATAAAATTATATGTAAATACTTTATAATAAATCATAATCGTAATTAATAAACTAAATGGATACGGTGAAAATCACTCTCAAAACGAAAACTGATAAAGGAGAATCAGGGTCACCGCACAACACTCAAAGCGTATCTGGAGCTGATCGTGGTCCTGAAACATTCAAACTGCTTGATCGGTCCGAATGTATCTGGTCCATGCTAAACTTCAGATACATGTAGAATGCTGAGCAGTGGAGCCAAGCCCTAAATACTGTAAAACAGTTTTGCTGACGAATAAACTGTATCGTTTTCCGGCTACCAACCTTCGCGCTCGAACAAGACAAAAAGGCGGGAGGGAGGAGGAGGGACGGAGGAGGACGAGGGGAAGGGAGGAGGAGGAGGGGGAGCGGAAGTGAGGGAGGAGTCGAGGGAGAGAGAGGGAAGAGGAGGAGGAGGACGACGAGGAGGGACAGGGAGGAGGA